AAGGCTATGACTGCAATATATTGTCTCATAAGCTCTATAGGAACTTCTGCCCTAAAAATGCAGAACTGTTATCTATAGGGGCGATAATCGGTGACCGGTTAGTCGGCCAACCGAAAAACCAAACTGAAAGATCGGTTTATTGGTTAACCGAAAACCGAAAAAATAAGATCTCGGTGTCGGTGTCGGTTGGCCCATTTGGAGTTATTCACTAACCGGCGGTTATCGGTTGCTAACCGATGATCATCGGTTGCTAACCGATCTAACTGACCAACCATCCTTTTGATCTCTTGCTGCCCCCAACTCCTTCATCCTCCCGATCCCCACCTTCCTCTACCTCTCCGCCCAGCTCCTTCCTTCCGATCCAGGCCTCAAATCTTCCTCTAACTCAAAGCCAACATCTTTCCTTCCTCTAAATCGTCCTCGCCTCCCCTTCACCACCAAAATCCCACACAAACCCTAAATCCTTTCCATCTCAATTCTCCCAAATTCTGACCTCGCCACCCCTTATTGTTGCTCCGACGGCGGCACTTGCGAGACTGCAAAATTGCTTGCGAATCCCTCGTAGACGACGCCAATAACTCCATCTCGTAGTTGTCTGCGCCGCCCCGTCTACCTTGTCGTCTCTAATCGGAATCGCAGGCTCGCCTTAGTCCTTCACATCGAAATCTGCCTTGGCCTTCTTCCTCTACCTCTTTGACTTCCAATGACATGCATGAGCATGGCAAGGAGCGCCCACACCAGACACCACCACCGGAGCGCCACCGTCCACATCCCCACTCCGCCGCGCATCTGTCCAATCACACAAATTGCCGTCGTCCACATCCTCACCTTGCCCGTCGCTCCGACTCCCCAATTTCCAGGCCTTCTCGGCTAACCACCCATCCCACCGAAACCGTCGGCTGCGGTTATTGGCTAACCGATAGTGCAGTCGGTGTCGGTGACGGTTGGGGATTTCACCTCCTTCTCGGCGTCGGCTAACCGACTTTGCGGTTCGGTTAAAACCGAAACCGCACCGCTAACAACCCTAGTTATCTATCTTTACATCCACAGGCTACTATCGTAAGTTATCATCTTCTTCTTCTTTTTCGTCTTATGAATTCATGTCCTTGTCATTCTTTGTATGTCGAATCTCATCATTAACTAGCGTTATGTGTGGTTTTTTTACTGTTTCTCAGTCTTCACCGAACAGTTAACATTTTCTTTCATCAAAGTGGTTTGCCTAGGCAAATATCTATATGAAGTTTATGATTATTTTGTAACATTAGATGACTTCTGACATTCATTCGTGACTAATATGCATTTTTAATTTTTTTTTTGTATTTATTAGGTAATTTCTAGTATGCGGCCGATCACGAGTTTCGACGATAAAAAATGAGAAGCCATAAATAAAAATTATTTAGAAAATATATAATTTAGTTTATAGTGTATTTATTTTCTACTAAAACAAGCACCTTAACAATGCCTTGGATTATTTATTATACTAACTTTTTCGTATGACTCTAACTATTTATGAGTTTTACTCATATCCAAAGTAAATGCATACGGCCAACTAAATGACACCTTGGCCGCTTTGTTTACAAATATGTTTCACATTTGTAACTAATTTTTTTATTGCATTAATGATTGCTCACTTTACGTTTTCATTTCACCATTGATCACTGGTTGTCCCACTTTATTAACTTTATCATACGTGATAGTTAACTGTTATAGTTGATCGTTAAATTGTTCATGAGTCAATTAAAGATTAACATAACTCAGCTCTCCATAGTTATCCATAACTCATATGAATGGATGGTAGGGGTGGGAAACGATCCGGTCCGGTCAAAACCGGACCGGATTGACCCGGTTTTTTAAGACCGTTTTGGCAAATACCATAACTGGAGACGGGATTGGATGGCATCCGGTTTCAACCGTGACCAGACTGGGTCCAATCCGGTTTTAAACCGGGAACCAGATTGGCCCTTCCAAAACGTTGACGTTTGAAAAAAAATTGAAAAAAAAAAAGAAAAACAATGAAATTGAGAAGAGGGGTCTCTGCCAATCTGCCTCCTCCAGTTCTGAACCGTCCCTATTTTCTCAATCTCCCTCTTTATTATAGAAAATCATAAATTCCTTCTCTCTTCTTCTTTCCCGATCTTTCTTCCACCTACCTCTTCTCCTCTCTGTTCTTCTTTCTCTTTCTTGTTTCTTCCATCTGCCTCTTCTTCTCTTTGATGAGGCAAGCAGGTTGCCCACTTGGTATGTCGATTTGTCTTCCTCCTTCGTTGTGAGCATCGTCGTCTCCGTCGCCCAAATATGCCTTGGCATGCAGAGAGGGGAAGATGGCGATTTACATATCATAGAGGGAATTGGGGCTGGAAAGGCGACGAGTCGTGGTCGGCACCTCCTTTTCCTCCATGCACGAGCTGATGGCGGAGGAGATTGCGGCGGCAGCGGCGCTAGCTGGGGATGGGGCGGAGTGGAGATGAGAGATGGAAGGTGTTTCAGGAGGATGGACGGGATGGTGGAGGAGAAGGATTGGATGGTGAGGTCGACGACGGTGGTGGTCGTGGTCGGGCAAGAAAAGTTACTGCCATGGTGTTGGTTTCTTGGTAGTCTATTATTTTGTCTCTGTTGTCTTCTCTTCCCCGGTTCTTTCTAACCTTTTTTGTGCGATTTTGAACACTTTTGCAGATGCTAAAGATTCGAGTTTGCTTAACTTTTCTGCTCTGGTATACATAATTTCCTTATGTCTTTAAAATTCAGCTTCTTGTGTTTTCCTTCTTGGCCACAGTGGTGTTTTCCATCTGAACGACTGCGTGAACTATGTGTAACCATTCTTATAACCATTTATTGCAGATTTTGACATGTACTTTGTTGGTATCTGCAAAAATGGCAGCTAGCCTCGCTGCTTCCCCGAGCTGATTATTGTAGTTTCAGTTGCCCTTTGAAAGGTTTGTTTTGTATCGAACTTCCTCGTGTAATAGAGTGTATTCTTTACAAACCTAAACTACGCCTTTCCATCACTAGGTCTAGATTTCCCTTGTGGATTGTGATTCTTATTTATAATTTACACTGTGCAGTGTGGTGCTTCCAATAGCTCGGGTATGTCAAAAGCATCCTGGTATATATATCCTATTTGTGACTCATTTTGTTTGGGGTTATTATTAGGATTGAATGTATTCATTGTTCCTGTAGTTTTGCGAAACTCGAGCCATGTTACAAAACAGTGCACTTAGCTTCTTCATCAAAGATATTCTATTTCTTGATAGTTTGTAATAGTTGTGTATCTGTATTTGAGCTGTTTCTGGTGCTTCGGAGCTTGGAAGTTATTAGTTACCATAATCTTCTAGGCTTTTATATGGTAATAACCGTTGTTTTATTAATGTCCGTCCATCTCCAATTTTTGTATAGTAATCTTCATTAATTTTTATTGACCTTGCTCACCAACTTATCCATTGTCCTCTCCCCATGTTTAGCTACTGTCTAAATTAACTAACTCCTTCTCCCATTTTGTTTGGTGATCATCAAAGTGAGAAGGCGGCACATTTTTTGCAAATCTGGAGCATTTGGATTTTGGACACTGAAGAGTTAAAGTGTTGTAGCTTAATTGTAGATTGACTGGTGTTGTGACCAATATGATAATTAGGAAGTTCAAGGCGTGTAAACCCCTGGCCTTTTGTGATAATTGCAAACGCCATTAATTCATCTGAACCTACTTCTACTTATTTTTTTGTACAATTTGATAATTTTGTAGCCTTTGAATGGGGAGCGGTTACGGTGAGTACTACTAAAGTAGTAATCACCGTGGTTACTAAGGGTAAGAATGGTATTCTGGTGCTTATTGTTTTGGTAGTGATGCTAATTTTTATTGGTAGTGTTTACATTGGGTAGGAATGGTATTCTGGTGCTTATTGTTTTGGTAGTGATGCTAAATTTTATTGGTAGTGTTGGGCAGGAATGGTATTTTGGTGCTTATTGTTTTAGTAGTTATGCTAAATTTTATTGGTAGTGTTTACATTGTGTTATTAGTGTATATCTGTTTCGATGGATTGTTATTCAATATTGAAAATGAGTTGCTTGACCACTTCCAGAAATACCAATATCATTATATAAGTAAAACAAGAAATCAATGCCAAAACATAAAAAAAAACTATACCAACACAACCAATCGAGACGAACCAATACAACTAATACAACTACGGAAAAAATAGTACCATTACACGACAAAAACTACCAATATAAACAATCTATACCATTATAAGAATCAATATCAATCCATTAAAAAAATACTACCATTGCACAAAACACCAATACCATTCGAGAAATAAAAACACTACCATTTGACAAAACACCAATACCATTGCAGATTTAATCAATACCAATACGACAAAAACTATACCAATGCAACAAAATCAATACCAATGCGACAAAAACAATACCAATACCACAAAAAAATACCAATGCGACAAAAAAAAAACCAATACTATACTGTTTCCTAAAACAAACAATCAACCACTACCAAAACAAAAAAAAACATATATAGGTTTTACTGTTCTCCTCAGTCGTCTCTTGTGGAGAAAGAGAGAGAGAGAGAGAGAGAGAGAGAGAGAAAGGGAGGAGGTTGACGGAGGGGGCAGAGGTGGCTGGAGGGGAGAGTGAGGGCAGCGGAGAGGAGAGTAACGGTAGGCAGTCGTTGTCGCCGATATGAGAGAGAAGGAGGCGGGCGACAATAGTCGCCGGGAAGAGATGCGGCTGGGAGAGAAATATATATTATTAGGGTTGAAAAGAGAGAGAGGGTGAGATTATAGGGAATAGGAATCAGATGCATTAAAATTTTGATTTCCAAAATTACCCTAAATGAATTTTGACCGTAAGATTAAAATAGAAGGAAAAATAGAAAATCTAATGGTGTACAAAGAGGTTGCCACTATGGCTACCAAAAAATTAGTAGCCACCCTACCCATTCCCCTTTAGGGAATGTACATTTATTTTGATTTTTGAGTATCCGTGACGCGAAGCGCAGGCAACAAAAACTAGTGTAATTTATTCTAGTGAACTTTGCCGCTCCAGGCGGTCTCCTCTTCTCTCACCCCCAATTTCAAATTTTTCCCAATTTTACCAAGTACTGTGGCTCTGACACCCCGTGAACTACCGCCCATAATTGCACAAAGGAGAACCAAACTACCCAGGTCCCCCAGAAAGGGGGAAATTTGCAAATGGCAGCTACTTCTCCTACAACTACCAAACTCAACGGATTACCCTTTTGCTACTGCCATCGTCACTCTCCGCCCTCTGCTTCCTCCCACCTCGACCGCCTCCTCTTCCCACCATCCACCCTCCGTCGGAGCTCTCTCCTTCACTCCATCGGCGACGCTGCTAGATTCCCGGCACTATTCGCTCGCCGATTGAAGCGGTATCCTAAGTCGGCGGCGGCGATGCTTCACCAGGACCCGATCCTGTCGGACGCTATAGCGACCGGATTGTCTGGAGCGGTCGCGCTCTCGGTGCTCCGGCTGTTTGAGGAAACTGCCAAGCGCGGCATCTTCGACCAGGTTAGAAATCTCAGTCGCTCGCTTGGTTCGATTTGTTTGCTTTCGGGGTTTTTTTTCTTCTTTTCTTCGTTACCCAATTAGCGTTGTTTTTACCGGAATTTGTCGTTTCTCATGGCGCACTTTGGGCTCCGGGGGGAGAACCAATTAGGTAAATGAATTAATGATTTGTGTTAACTTGATTCCTCCAAACGTGGAAACCGGTGGCATTTTCTGTCAGGCAGTGTTATTTAATGCACATTCCGCATATTCTACTAATTACGGCGACCCTTTCACTCCAGTGAGGTCATTAAGGTGCGAGTGGAGATTTCAGAGAAAGTTTGAGAAATAGATTATTATACAAATGATGCACATGACTGTCAGGCAGCTGGGTCAGTGGTAGTTATAATATAGAGAGATGGGTCTTCGTTGGTGACGATGAGAAGGGAACAGAATTTTCTGTCTGTCTTAAAACACCAGCTTACAGCCACACGCACCCACAAAGGGATTCCTTTGATTCCCACTTCCGAGTATGTTTGTTTCCGGTGGAGTAGTGTCTGATCTATGGGCGACGGTGGTGTTGACGGTGGCCGTTTTTGGTTTACTGGAGCTATGGAAGGAAACTGCCAAGCGTGGAGTTGACCAGGTGTTTGCTTTCTTCTGGTCACTCTGGGTTGAGGAATTTGGATCCATTTTATGCTGCCTTTCGTTGACAGGAAGTGATCCTTCTTTGCTTAAGATTAGAGCCACCTACAGGCTACAGAGGCATGAGTTGAGCGATTTTGGGTAGTTGAATTTCTGTATCTATGTGTTCTCTTGACCTAGAGTGAATACCTGATCCTAATGTGTTCTCTTGACCTAGAGTGAATAGCTAAAGTTTTATTATCAGATAAATGGAACGAACTGATTTGGTTTCTCTGATCTAGATGCTGGGTCCAACTAGCCAGTCAATTTTATGTTCAGTGTGAAGAGTTTGATTTATGACGATGTCTAGTTCTACAGATATTGGTCTTGTGCTCCTATCCAGAACGCAAACCTTGGACGTACCAGGGAATTTGATAAACAAAAATTCACACCATAAAGTTTGACATACAGAATGAACTCTTACAAATGTAGAGCAGCACTTTGGTGATTATGATCCTACCTAAATATCAGGGTCTATTAAAAGTGATGGGATCAGACTTCACTTCAGTATGAACTTCAAAATGATAGTGAGTACCAATGTGGATGCAGATAATCATATGTAAGTATTGTGCTCATGTGAAGCTTGATGGGCCGCTTCAACTTTCCTCTCTGTATGTATTGACAAATGTTGCGTCCCTTCATTTTTGTTCGGGATATAGATGCTAAAGATATTACCTTTGAGTTGAAACCCTCCAAAAAAATTATTGGTATTTCAGAGTTCTCATATCCTGTCTTTTTATTTTATTTTATCATGTAGAAAATGAATAGGAAGCTTGTGCACATAAGTATTGGGCTAGTTTTCATGCTTTGCTGGCCGCTTTTCAGGTAACTTCCTCTTACTAGTGAAATGTTTTGCATCTTTGTGCCCCAGTCTGTCAAATAAAAGTGTGTACATATTAATTGTTACAGTTCAGGGCCTCGGGGTGCAATCATGGCAGCTCTTATTCCAGGTGCCAACATAATAAAAATGCTTCTTATTGGATCTGGTTTGTGGAAAGATGAAGCCACTGTGAAATCAATGAGCAGATTTGGTGACCGCAGGTCAGACTAATCTTCATCCATCTCCCCAAAGCTCCGACTTTTCAATTCTTAGAATATATATGTACTTAATCTGAGGTTTCTTCATGATAAAAAAAAAAAAAAAAACAGAAGGACGAATTCAAATTTGTTCCTCTCAACATCATCTACCATCAGTTTGTTATTCCTGTTTATGTTACTCTCACAGTGTCTCGTATTCTCCTTCATTGAATTATTATTAGGGAACTTCTCAAGGGGCCGCTATACTATGCTACAACAATCACACTGGCTTGTGCAATCTGGTGGAGGACTTCCCCTATTGGCTTTGCAGCTATATGCAACCTATGTGCTGGAGATGGTACCTTCTAATTAAACAGACTCTTCTCTACAATTCTACAATCGTTGTTGTGTTTATACCAGCTCCTCAACCTTCATCTTTCATTTTGGCGATCTCTCATAGGGATGGCAGACATTGTGGGTAGAAGGTTTGGCAGTCAGAAACTACCTCACAACAGAAACAAGTCTGTAGCTGGGAGCATTGCAATGGCACTGTCTGGTTTCTTAGCATCTGTTGGGTAAATTTTCTTCATCGTCTGGGTCTAACTAGCATTAGTATGCATATTTGACCCTGTCTATTCTTCCTTGGTTGCTGCTCAGGTATATGCATTATTTTGCCTCATTTGGGTATGTTGAGGAGAGCTGGGGGATGGTATTAGGGTTCCTTGCTGCGTCTGTTGCATCAGCCATTGTCGAATCGCTCCCCATAAGTACCGAGCTCGATGACAACCTCACTGTGACTCTTGCTTCTGTGTTAGTAGGGAAACTTGTTTTCTGATGCGATGATAGGAAGGCCTAATGAGGTTATTCCGAGCACGGATTTGTGGTGTTACAAACACCAGCAGTGGCAAGGCCAGGGGCAATGTAGGAGATGAACTTGTAATTGTTGTATCTGCATATTGAATAGAGTAAGCTAAGTAATGTGATTCGGTAATTCAGAACTTGCTTCTATGATGTGTTTAGGCTGCCAATTATTGACAAGATCTTGAGATTCTATGTAGAGTTTGCAGATTCTCTGCCTGCCAGTAACTTTATAAGTTGTATTTTCTTGCACCTTTAATTGGATTTGTTTAATCATGAGGTTTGTTGGAGAAATTATTGACATAAGCAAATAGCATAGTGCAAAGTATGTCCAATAAAATTATTAAAAGGGTTAATAGCATTTTGTATCCCTCTACTATGGTAAGTTAACAAACATACCCCTCTACTTAATTTTTGCACAAACATACCCTTTTAGTATTAAAACGTAACGATTCTACCCTTCCGTCTAATTATCCATTAAGTGACCGTTAAATAGACTCTGAAATGACCCAATTGCCCCTCATTTACCCCTAAACACTCCTAATATGTGTTTAATTAATAATTATTTTATTTTATTTATTTAATTTAATTCATTAATCATTACCCATCATCCACACTCGGCAGAAGTTTTCGCCTCCCTCACCGAGGCGAAACCCCGACCTCTTCTCCCTTTTCAGTTGCTCCAACAAATTCTACACCTTCTTCTTACTCTGTATATTGATTGTAGGTACTGGAATCACATAATCAAAGAGAGTTGCGTTGGCAGGAAGAACCCGAGTATAGGTGCGGCAGCAGAGTAGATGGATCGCCACGGAAGCGCTGGCGTCGGAACGTCTTGTGAAAATTTGGGAAGTTGCCGTCGACGTCGGGGAGAAGTCGGGGAAGCTGGACCCTGCTGTGTGATCGAGGGGAGTTACATATGCGTTGAAACGTCACGGGGAATCCGGAGCAGGTGCCGGCGAGGAGATGTCGTCTTGTCTCGCCGGTTCTCTCTACTCCAACTGCCGGCGAGGAGGTGCCGAGCATGTGTCGATGCCGAGTCGAGCTTCTGATCGCAAGGGGAGAACTCAGGGGGAGGGCTTCTGTATTAGCTTAGAGATTTTTAATTTTTTTAATTAATTGATTTGGAACACAATAAAATAATCAACCGAAGTTAGGAGCAAAATGGGGGTAATTGGGTCATTTCACACCTCATTTAACGGCTACTTAATGGATAATTAGACAGAAGGGTAGACTCGTTACGTTTTAATACTAGAAGGGTACATTTGTGCAAAAATTTAGTAGAGGGGTATATTTGTTAACTTATCATTGTAGAGGGGTACAAAATGCTATTAATCCAATTTAATATTAAATAATAAAGGGGCTAATATTGTATAAAAAGAAGTTGACCCGACCCTATGACCCGACCCAGCCCAGCCCGACCCAACAGGGCCAAATGAGAATAGGGTCGGACCAAATATTTGAGCATGAGCATACAGGCCAGGGCTGGATTTTTTTGGGTAGTGGCAGGGTGAGGGCTGGGTTTGGCCCAGTTTCACCCCTAGTTAGTATCCATTATCCTGCCACTCAAGCTCCGAAGATCTGCAATTCGACTGAAGCTTTGAAGATCTGGAAGTCGACTGAAGCTCAAACGAAAAGTGACGCCATTCGAGAGTACTTTTAACTCTATCCGCGCCAGTACTGCTCCCAATTCCGCAATCCCAATTGAACTCGGACCCCGCCCGACCACGCGAACTAGTTTTGCCGATCTCACTGCCGTCGGAGCTCTGCCATGGGGCTTCTCAGCATCATCAGAAAGATCAAGCGAAAAGAGAAGGAAATGCGTATTCTCATGGTGTGCGTAGCTCTGTTTCCCTCTCTCTTCCACTTCTCCATTTCCAATTTCCTCCACATCCACAGCAGCTCGAAATCTAATCGGGGATAATTTCCCAATCGTCTTTTTCCTTTCCGCAGCGGCCTGGACAACTCCGGGAAGACGACGATTGTCCTGAAGATCAACGGAGAAGACACCAGCGTCATCAGTCCTACCCTCGGCTTCAACATCAAGACCATCACTTACCACAAGTAAGAAATAACCCACCACAAACCCTAATGTCAATTTCCACACCCCCTCTTTTCTGATTGTAGTCTCAGTAGAATTGTCTTTGTTATGTGTCTGCAAGGTATATGTTGAATATATGGGATGTTGGTGGGCAGAAAACGATAAGGTCGTATTGGAGGAACTACTTTGAGCAAACTGATGGCCTGGTTTGGGTTGTGGATAGTTCAGATCTTAGGAGGCTAGGTGATTGCAAAATGGAACTTGAAAATCTGTTGAAGGAAGAGGTACTTAACTACTAATCTGGTTTCTCTCTGCCCACTTTGCTGCTGCTGCCGAATTTCAGCTCCTGGCCTTTAGTATTCATAACTGTTTGCTATTTTTGATTTGGCAGAGGCTATCTGGAGCTTCTTTGCTGATATTTGCTAACAAGCAAGACATCAATGGGGCTCTTACACCCGAGGAAATCGCCAAGGTACTACTACAAAAGGCCTTCTTGACAATGGAACTATTATGATCCCAATGCATATTGACATTGGAGAATTTTCTGTGTATTCTTTTTCCGTTCTGGGTTTAGTAACTCTGGTTTGATGCTTTTGTAGGTACTGAACTTGGATAACATGGATAGAACCAGGCATTGGAAGATCATCGGTTGTAGCGCATATACGGGTGAAGGTCTGCTTGAGGGATTTGACTGGCTAGTTCAAGATATCGCCTCCAGAATATATGTGCTTGACTAAAATCATAAGCAGATGTCGACCTTTTGTTCTTGGTTTCCTTTTGTATTTGTGAGGATTTGGATCATAGGAATTGAGTGTTTTGATCTTAGTCTCGTCGCCTGAACTTTAGTGCACAGAGGCTTCATTTTTGAACTTACTGGACCTTGAGGCGCAACTCCAAACATGCACTGCTTAGTGCTAAATGAGGTAAAAACATGTGCATCATTCATATTCCAGATTACAGGGCCCTCTTTATGTCACAGAGCTACACATCTGCAGCCAAGTTGAATGGATTTCATTACAGAATCCCACAACGAGTTGTGCTTCCTGCAAATCTCAGCCCACTTCCCATCAGGCCAAGACCCCGCTTTAATCTCCTGAACAAGCCTGGCGAATTCATCAACCATCAAAACCTCTAGTTGATGTTGTATGAATCGCAGAGAGGAACAGATTAGGCTTTGTCGAAAATGGCAACATAGATAACCATACCAATCTTCCATTCCATTCGGTATTCTCAATGCTGTGAATATGTTTTTCAAACAGGGGAGGGATCAAAAACTGAAGCTTTACCTTACTAGTCCAATCTTTCTGACGAGTTTGGGATTGGAGATAAGCTCCTTCAACCTTGTGGTCCTTGGATGCTGAAGCCACTGGAAATGGCGTGAAGGGTGATGGCAGTGGATAAAGAGTATGGCTCTGGTGACTTTCTTCACTAGCCTGGTGCATCCAATGATCCCAAATCGCTCTACACAATCTGTTGCTGCCATTTGTTCTCCCTTTTTCTTACTCCGCGTTCTCCAGCATGTCTTAAGATTTCTGGGTTGTGAGTTGTTGAGTGACGGAAATGTTATGAAAAGCTGGAGGGTGTCAGAGACAGAGAGAGGAACGAGCTGATGATGAGTTGGTTGTTTTTGGAACCCAAACGGGGTGAGTTTGATTAAGGTTGGGGATGCAGAGTTTACTAATTAACTGCAGAGTATGAGTTAACATATGTGAAAAAAGCTGCATCTTAGTAACAGAGGATAAGTGCTACAAGCTGGAGCAAGTAAAAGCAGAGGTTTTGCGGGCATTTATACAGACTGAAGCATATGTCTGTCTACATATGGAGATGCCGAATACATATAAACCGAGTTTTTATTTATCAGGGCTTCAGAGGCTGCAAGACTTCATCAATGAATTGCTGGGTAAGAGCGGTTGGAAGCCCCATGACAGTATCGCTATTCCCAATCTGCAAGCAAAAGCCATTCAGAGTGTCATTAACAAGAATCACTAAGGGCATATTCTGGTATGCAACTGAGGTTCTTTGTAAACCACTAGAAAACCGAAAGGGGGAGGAGAAAGACGAACCACTGCTTCAACAAAGGGCAATGTTAATGGATGTTCCAGCATTAGACCTCCAGCCACTTTGAAAGTTATTCCTTCCTCGATCTTCAAAACATCATTACTTGGTCAGTGAATTGAGTTCAAGAGAGAACAAGGGGGAGAGAAATGAGTTCATGCCAGAATCTTTTACCAGGCTATCGATGATTTCGTCGGGTATCTCATGGAAATATACCTCTGCTCTCTCCCAAGTTACCCTTCTCGAACCTGTAGTGAGATTGGTTACAAGGACTGATCCTACAACTGCAGCATGGCTTCCAGAATAGCCTGCAAGCAACAGCTGTTAGAAACTCAATCCCAAATGAATATCAGAGATGGGTTTGGCTGATTAGAGGACTCAGTAAGCAACCTTTTATAAATTCCCTTGCTTCTTCCTCACTGGTTGGTTTCTCTCTCACCACTCCTTTATATACCACGACCTGATGAAAGACCACAGAAAGTTTACAGGAGATGGGAGGGTAGCAATAAGTCATAAACTATATACCCAAGAATCAACAATGTCGATTGCAAAACAAGTTCATCTATCGAAATGTCGGATGAGGAAACCAAGATTCATAGCTTAAGGTAATGAATGAAAAGGTAGATGTAATGTAACGGAAGTCAAGAAAGAGACTATAAGTTCATACCGTATCAGCAGTAATTAACAACGTCATATCAGTATCGTTCTGCAGTTGACCTGTGTTCAGAAGCCTTGCTATGATGGCATCTGCCTAGGAAAATGACCCAAATAGGGAACCATATTAACATAAGCAACTTCAATCAAGAATCGTAACCCCAAGTATAGTGAATGTTCTTCACCATAGAATCAACAACATTTAACGAAATGGCTTACAGAAGTGAAGAAGTGCCATACCTTAGCTTCAGCTAGAGCCATCACCAATTCTTCAGGCTTATCTTTCCTAATGCTTTTCTCATCAATATCTGCAGTCTACAAAAAAACAGAGATTTCAGCTCCTTTTTATATAATTATTATATAAATACTCAGGAACTCTTCTCATTATGAAAGAAGAACGTTCGAGCGGTTAAGAAAGCACCATGACAGTAAATTCATAACCCATCTCAGCTAGAATCCGCCGCCGAGCCATTGACGCCGAACCCAAAATTATCTGTCACAAATTATCACGACCCAATGTCAGTAAGACGGAGGATGTCGCTTCAAATGTGAAAGAACTTCGTTCCACAATGAATTCTGCCAGAGTTAGCTCGACAATGAAACCAAACCCAATTTCAGAACATCAATGAATCTCATTCAGGAGATGGGATTGGAAATGCCATAGCAAACACCATAAGCATGCAGCTCCATAATAGTTTAAGAAGAAGAAGAACCTTATATGAAGGTTTCGACATTGCTGCCGCCACCATGTCGAGCTTTGCACCAATGGCTCTGGGTGGGGGATACGGTCTGCCTTGTTCGCAGTGCGAGAGAAGAAATGAAAGAAGTTGTCCTCCTTTATCTACCTATCCATCCAAATTTCAAGGACGAATAAGTCCTCCAATTGATTAAAGTTTGTTTTTATGTTATGGACGAATAAGTCCTCCCAAGTTAAAATTGGTCACATTTCAATTCTTCAAATATAGTTTTTTTTTTTTGACAATTCAAATATAGTTTTCAATGGCAAAAGGCTCGATTTTTTTGTCATGGCCCCAACAAATTCGTAATTGGAATTGTAGGATCTCTTTTAATTGATTCTTTTATTTGGTTTTTTTTATTTTACATTGTTGAATAGATCCATTCGAAAATAATTAAGTGATGATAAAATTATTAAAAATTGGGATTCTCTATTTCTATTCAACAATGTACTAATAGTTCCTTGATTTTGTTTAAGTGATGGTTGAATCTTTGCCTTGGAATAATTGAAATAAAACTAATAATCTCACCCAAACATGCAATCATTGTAATAATCTCATTCAAACAATCAAAGAAATTAAACTAATTTATAGGTTACATTTAGTATAACTTTGTTGTTTTAGTTGGAGTAGAGTTGTAACAATAGAGGTACAAACATAACAACTTGAAAATAAAAAAAAAACTAAAACCTGTTTAGTTGGTATTATGAGAAATCGTGCAACAAACATAAATGAGTCTAATTACTATTTAGGTTTCATTTAGTATGAATGTCAAGACTAAGACACAAATAGGAAAATAATTAAAGGGATAGTGTATGAGAAAATAGAGGCAGAAAAATATATGAAAATAATATTGGTAATAAATTTTTGGGATGAGTTGTGCAAAAATAAAAAGGAAAAAAATTTGGAAAATGGGTTGGTAAAATTTGGTCATAAAAACTTTCAAATGAAATTATTTCAACAGCTTGTAAGATCTCACAAGAAAGCAAAGAAGGTACTCAAAGAACAAAGTGGTTTCATAGGATTCAACTAATTTTTGTTATCTTGTCAACTCATATTGCTACAACAATAGATAAAAACAAAACAAAACATATTTTTAGTCCATAAAAACCACCACTAATAATTAAGAGAAACCGAAAATACTATTAAAGAAAGACTTAATTCTTAACATTTGAGAGAAGCCACAAAAGCTTCCTCTCTTAGTCTCTTTCGTTCCTCTCCATCCAGTGCTTTGTAAACAAATACATTCTTCTCTAATCTCTACCTTTAGAATCTGATTGCAAATCCTTATGAATCAAGCTTCACTTCACCTTTTCCACATTTCCCATTCTAGCTGAAGCTCTTCCACTGCTCCAATATCTTTCGGGTCATTCACAACTCAAATAACTTTATCTGCCTAAAGAATCATCAATGATGAGGTCTCATCTCGGCGCTTAACGGGTCAAATGGAAACTCAATTCAAGTGTGTTGATGATTTTGAATGTCGTGTTCCGGACCCTATTTCCAGCCCTTATAACTTGAATTTTGGGTTTCCATATGGTTGGAATTTCACCCGTCGGGATAGTACGAGTTGCAAGCCTTCCAGAAAGCCATCAAGCACTGCTCGACTCCAACTAGAACTCCATAACAAGCTGAAAGAAGGAGGCTACTTGAACACAGGCAGGAAGGGTCAGATTTGTCCAAGTATAGAAGGAGCAGATTGTAGAGTTGAGATACCAACTTTGGAAGGTTGGTTCTCGATAATGGGAGAGGATTTGGACCAGCTGGGCGTTGCAAACGAAAGAAGGAATTTCTACTTCCACGTGAAGTGGTTGGATGAGTTTGACAAGGCGATTTATCCCAATTTCTAAGAGCCCCAAGTTGGTACCCAGGACACTACAAACGTGCAGCTCAAGGCACTTACTTGGCCGAGAAGAAACCTTTGGTTTCATTGTTCTTTTTGGATTCTGTTTAAGTTTACATTTCATTGTTTGGTTAGGATAGTATCTCTTGTGATTCGTAGTGTTCCATTGTCTATTTATAGGTTTTCAATTAATGTGTAATGGAGATAGAAAAGAATAACCATAAGTTATTTTCGTTTAATTCATGATCTTCGTTTGATCGTGTTTGATTGTGTGTTTGGGATCAATCCAAGCTCGAGATCAAGCTCAAGCATCAGCTGGTGAATCACGACCAGTTGTGGGAGTTCTACCCTAAATCGTTGAGCCTCTTTTCCGTGAGAAAGTTGTTCGATTGATTCGTCGTCACGTTCTGATTGTGATTCAACTCCCAAACTTCGCAATTCTTGTTGGCTGCGTTGGATACTCTGATCGTGATCCTAACCAGGGTCATATCAAGTGGGATCATCGCCTGGTTCAAACACAGGGATTGCGTGCTTTGAAATTGCTATTTTCTTCGTCGTCGGAAAAAGCTCTGTTCTGGGCGTACCAGTCGGATCCTGGAAATTCTCACCGGAGCAACTTCAAAACGTCATTCTGGTAAAGACTCGCCGCCAGAAAGCAAAAGAGAAGGAGACTTCCGTAATGGCGGATTCTTCTGTGGGTGACTTACAAGCGATGACAAAGGAAGAGTTGCTGGCGTTCATCCAGACGCAGAGCTCGTCGTTCCTGCAACAACAGCTCGACAAACAGAGAGACAATATCCGAGAAAATTCGAACAAAATCGATGCTGTGTTGGCCAAGCTCGACGCGATCGCGCTTCAGAATCCTGTTACCCCTCCTCCTCCTTATCATATTCCCCAATCGACGGCTTCAATGGCGACATCGGTTGCGACGTTCGATCCCGGAACAGGGCCACGACTAGCAGGGAACACAGCGCCGGGATTTTACCCAAATCAATTTCGAACAACTCCTCCCCCTGGAACCTACCAATACACGCCTCCTGTGTTGCCGAGAGTTGAGTATTACCCTGACCGGTTGCAAGAACAGGGAGGATTCCAGGCCACCGGATTTTACGGGCAGACAGGAATGCCTCGCTTGCAGTTGCCTCAGTTCAGGGGTAATAACAGCGCGTCTGAATATTTGGACTGGGAAAGAAAGGTCGTGGCATACTTCGTTGCGCAACCGTGTCCTGAATTCCATAAAGTAGCTCATGTTACTTACGAATTTGATGATTACGCAGCTGTGTGGTGGGAACAAACCCAAGCTCGTCGACGTATGAATTTGCAGGCCCCTATTGCGACATGGGACGAGCTTCAGAGTGTGACGAGGGATCGTTTTATTCCAAGCTACTATTTGAGGGAGGTACATGAGGCTCTCCTAGGTCTCAGGTAGGGCTCTCGGACTGTAGATGAGTACTATAAGGAGCTGGAACTTCTGCTGTTAAGAGCTGATGTAAGGGAGGACAGGGAAGCAACCATCTCCAGATTTTTGTGTGGATTGGACCGGGAAATCAAGCGAGAGGTAGAGCTGAGGCAGTTTGCCACTCTCTAGGATGTCTACTACTTGGCGATGAAGGTGAGCAACAACTCAAGTCGACATCAGGGCGAACAGGAACTTCCCTGCCAACAATGGAGTTGCACGCTCAAAACCGGAACCTGCTTCCCCCATTCCAGTTTGTAGTGTTGGAGATAAAATTCCAACTCCATTCAGACCTAATACTAATGAGAAGATGGACATGATCACTTCCTTCAAGTGTCGAGGGAAGGGTCACAAAGCTGACCAATGTCCCAACAAGCGAGCACTAGTTCTGCTTGACAATGGGGAGTATGGATTTGATGAAAACGAAGAAGGGGAAGAGCAGGAGGATGAAGACACTGATGTGGATGAGTCAATTGAGGCAGAACCACCACCTGGTTCCCTTTTAGATGATCGTCCAGTGGCAATCAAGCCTCCCAAGGGGAACTTCCTTAATCATCGAGCACTAACCATCTCCGCAGTGGCCGAGGCAAATCAGAGGCACAACATCTTCCATACCCGCTGCAAGGTAAACACGGATGTAGCTTCTATGATTATTGACGGAGATAGTTGTGTGAATGTTGTTAGTGCGAAAGCAGTAAAGAAGTGGGGATTGAAGACTGAAAAGCACCCAGAACCGTATAATTTGAGATTGCTGAATGATTGTGGATCAGTCCGGGTGAATGCGCGAGTTACCGTTCCATTTGAGATCGGCACGTACAGGGACAGTACCAAATGCGATGTCGTCCCAATGCAGGCCACCCATCTTCTCCTGGGGCGTCCATGGCAGTACGACAAGAAAGCAATGCACAATGGGCTTACCAACTCATACGTTTTCAACCATGGAAGAAGGACGTTGGAACTCTTGCCATTATCTCCGTCTGAGGTGATCGAAGACCAACGAAAGATTGCACGAAGCTTCACAGAGCTTGGCAATAGCTCAGCGTCCTCCCCGAAGCGGCCTGGAAACAATTTGGTGGCTCAGAGATACCTGTTGATGAGTCTACAGGGTCACCGTCTCAAAATTTGGCAACGACGGGAGCTGCTCTGTTCTGCCGTTCCCCTGAAGCAGGCCGTACGGCGTGGACTTACGCCGGCGACTACGGAAGTCATGGAAGGTGTGGTCACGCCTCAAATTCACCCAACAAGCTCCGGCATTTGGCAAAGCGGAACCACGACCCCAACCACCTTGGATCCGAAGTGGAGTTCTTCGTGCCTAGAAAGGCTGTTCTTCGATGCCAAGAACTCGAAGTCGAATTTGGAGTTCCAGGAGGTTTCTGCGCCAATTGAGAGGCGAAATCCGTTGCTAGAGGGATCACGAACGTGTCGCAAACGAAAAATACGGTCGAAACTGTTCCAGAAAGAAAGCCCCAATTTGGCTTTTCAAATTTGTCGGTCACCGGAGTTCGACGGCGAAAAGTGCGGGAAGAACTTGGAGGGCTCGTCGTTCAGTATGGGACAACGTCGAGCTTCCGAACTGTGTGGGGATGACAATTGGGGTCCAGGTAAACCTCTTGGAAACCACGAATCGGACAATCGAAGCACATATGAAGAATCCCCAATTTTGAGACTGTCCCCGGAGCTTCATCGCCGACCACCGGAAACTGGAAAATTTCCAGCTTCAAAATGTTCGTATTTTCTGCAGGAAATTGCTGGGAAGTTCGTGTGGATAACAACCTATGACCTGTATGAGGTATTTGTCGACCCAATGATCAT